ATTTTATAAGCTGTTTAAGCCATAATCAAAACTATTTCATATTAATAAGCCCAATGAAATTCTTAAAAAACGGATAATAGTACACTGATATATTTCGTCAGAAGAATCAAAGCAAAGGGGGTACAGTATACTTATAGAAAAGGTTGGAGAAAATCCTATGTGTCAAGATTTTTGCAATTGCGCAGAATTATTCATTCCGTGATTCTCATGATGATGAGTTACACAGATGCATCTATATCTATCTATTTTAGGATTTTGAAGGCATAAGCTTGAATTTTTATTCTGGATTCAGTTAATTACATTTGCAAGGGTGATATAGGCAGAGAACTTTGGTCTATTTTCCCGCACTTGACATTATTTCCAAAACTAGTCCTGTTTCTCAAACATATATTAAAAAATCTTATCTCCTTTCTTTCATGAGCAATTTTATAAAGTTTAGGTGTCTTTATAAGTACTGTATGCTTACAACACCTTGGAAACGATTTTAAGATTTTCTTTCTCATCTCAGGCAACTCAGGCTGAATATTAATTCAATTCTTAGTTAAATGACATTAAAAAAATCTTCAAAGATTACACAGTTTTAACTATACACATTTTTGGATTTTATTCTGTTATTCCAGGGACTCTAAAACACAAAAATAGATTTCTATCAGATCATTTATAAAAGAAAAATAAAACCCACTAAAATATTCAAGAAGCCCCCCAACAAAACTGCATTCAGCCCTCTCCAGTCTTATCCTCATTAGCAGCAAAGAGTTTGCCCTCTGCCGAATCTAACATGGAATGCTTAAAGCAGACAGGTGCAAACTGCAAGCTGTTTCACTTTGGCTGTTATCCCTTAAATCCACGAAGTAATAGACTGAGAGAACAAAAAAGGTTCCAGCTCGAGCTGCATAAATGAAAGTTTTAACAGGGACACACCAGCTGGCCAGGAGAATTAAATGTAGTGAATGCTAAATATTACCTTTATGCTACTTGCCAAGGAAAACGGCTTCAATAACACCCCCTACCTTTCATCGTGGGGATGAAATTCCTTCTGAATGAATTTCTGCTTTATTGTAAAGGCGACGCTATGGCCGAAGTGGATGAGAACAGAAGCCAGCATACCTGTTCCTGTTTACCATCATTACACTCCAAGCATTCAAGCATGGTTAGGTTCTTGGAGTCTGGCCAGATTGCCAGTATTTCTAGCCCCGTCTTTTTTTCTTTTTTTGGCTGATTCTAGCCAAGCCTCAGAGCACTAAAATAACAAAAACCACCACCATCACCCCCGCTCCCCCAACAAGACCAATCTGCTGAGCTAGTATGCTGAAAAAAAACAATTCATATTAGAAACACCTAATTTAATTTCACAGAAGAGACATGCCACGCCAGTCTGTGTAGGAATCTAAGGTATGCGTTTCAGAGCAGGGATTTTAACTCTGGCATGCCAACGTTGCTTGTCTTTGTGACGTCCCAGTTTACACAGGGGCTGCTGTCTGGAAGAAGGAAGTTTAACTTGAACTCTGAGGCCGCTGACTAGGTCTGACTGTGGGGTCTTCCCGTGCAGACAAGGGGTAGGGTGACAGCTCCGAGTCAGCCTTGTTTATAGCCGGACAGGAGAAAACAGCTAGACATAAATGAGTGCTGACGGTTTCATGAAGCACAATGGGTTGAGTCCAGATGCGATCTGACTGCCCAGAACTGAGCGATGATCCGTACAGTATGCAGAGCTCACTTCCTTGCTGGTCTGTGCCCACCAGCCTTGGAGGAGCTGGCTGAGCCCCTCAGCCATGGTTTCGAGAGCAACCAAAGCGGCGCACAGCACGGCTGGCCCCCATGCCTTTGACAACAATCACATTCTCTTAAATACTTCCTGGGCTGTGGTTGTCACTTGCTATAAATGAGTGTGGTGTTGTTTATCGTGTTTGCTACTCTATCGAAGACTTCCTTCCAAGTAGAGGGTGCCAGCATCAAAAGACATTTGTTGCCTTTTAATGAAAAGGAAAATGTCATCGAAAACACTGTCAGTCCTAACATTTTCATGCATTTTTGTTTTATTCTCTGCTCAAATCATAAATCATTACTTGTTTTCTATAGGGTCACTGTGAATTGGAATTGACTCAACTATAGTGGGTTTGGTTTGGGTTTTATTTTTTTTTAATGTAACATATTTACTAGGATAACCTTTCCAAAATATAATGAGCTGATTTATTATTGTTTAAGTGGCATGAATGGTTTGTGACTGACTACTAGTATAAAGGTTGGTGGTTCAAACTCACCCAGTGGCTGTGGGGAAGAAAGTCCTGGTTATCTGCTTCCATGAGAAGCAAGAAAACCCTATGGAGCAGTTCTACTCTGCAACGCGTGGGGCCACCATCAGTCGGAATTGACTGGACAACAACAAGTTTGTTTATTTGCTTTTAAGCCCTCATATAAAAGAAACGTGTTATCAGAAACTACTTGCTTTGATCTGATTTGGAGTTACATGATAGCAACTAAATAGAAACAGGAAGGAAAAAAAGACCAGGAATGTATCCATAGTAGCTTTACTTAAGATTCCTAAATATTTTGCTTATCCTCAAAACTAAACAGGTATCAGTGAGAAGCAGGAAGATACTAGCGACTAAATTTTTTTTCCCTTACTTTAATGTTTGAAGTACAATCTAGGTATTTAATAAGTTAATGTGAACTTATGAAAAATAATAACACATACATAAATACACAGATGTAGCAAGGGACAATGAGGGAAGGCAGTGATATAAAATATGAATGAAGGGTTATTTCACTGAGCTAAAGAGACAGAATCTCTCAGGAAGGAGAGACTCTAAATTGAGAAGGGAGTGGAAGAAAACGCCGTTTACAGCGCTTCAAGGTGCCCATGTATAAAGAAGAAAGAGTGAAGAAATTGGCAAAACAGACAAGTAGGAAATCACTCCCAATTTCCTCCTGAACATGTGTTAGCGGTAAAGAGGTCACAAAATACAAACCATCCTTTGGAAACCTCCTCAAAGAATTTTTCTCTGGTGTGTACAGTCAGGCTTTGCTTTCTTTTTAAATACGTGAACTTGGGAAAATATCTTTGAGACCTTTACAACAGGGCGCAAGTCTGTAATTTCGTTTGAAGTCCTTAGTAAGGAAATGGGATCTATTAATAGGCCACTTCCATCTATTTGAAAGCATGTTTAACTCAAGCTGAAGAGAGCAAAGTGCCAAAATTACTGAATCATGTCAAGAAAACTAATATCTGCTGTTGCCTTGGATGAAGGCTGTGAAAAAACAATCACACTTCAACTCCTTTTTTAATAAAATATGTAGTGCAGTTGTGAACTACTGGCTTTTAAAAGTTTATGAAATTTTTAATGAAGAAGGTCTAATATTTTTACATTAAAAATCAAGACAATATGTAAACACATGTCATTTATTTCCTATTGCTGTTTATAGCATACATTTTCATGCATGGGTATAACACTACACATCTTTGCAAATTTTAAGGTCAGTATCAGATTATGAGATAATTTTCTAGATGTTAATTATATCTTTTAAATAGTGCTATTATGCAAAGTACACTATTCTACTTTAGCTATGACTCTAAAATGAAATATTAGAATTTAGAATTCCTTAACTAAAGAAAAAATATTAACTTTTTCTCTAAATAAGATCATGCATTTTCTTTAGAAGAAAATCTCAAAATATTAGTTTTTTTTTTAAGTCTTACCCATATAAATCTCCTCTCCTCACCTTGCTAGAAAAATTCAAAGATCTTTGAGCATATATTTTTTCTCAATTTTGCGTACAGTGACATAAAATAACTTCATCACCTATTATACACCGAATATTTACTTTGTGTTTTCAAGGAGAGATTATCAGAAAAATAGGCTCTGTATTTTGGTTGGCTGAATGGCATATTCGTCAATCCAATCCTCAACATGCCTTTGCTTGATGATACTCTAAGAATAATAAAAGATGCTTTGCAAGAAGTTACGTTTATTTATTCATTAACATTTTATCTTAAAAAGAGGCTATTAGGAGCTTCAATAATCCTATCAAAAGCCATGATGTAGGGCTTTAAAACTGGACAGTGCATTTCGTTATTTTGAATATAGGCATCAAAAACTTCATTAATTGAATTGTTAATATTGAACTATCTTTTACACGTAACCATGATATGCTGATTTCTACATTCTTCATCTCTCTTATTTTTATGCTTATTGTTAACATAAATTTTATAATTTTATCAGAATTTGGGTGTCTCTATCATAGATTTTTTTTTTTAAATTCAGTTTGACAGTTACCAAGGATTCATTTGGAACTGGTAATGGTCTGAGAACTCTAATAATATTTCTGGCTATTCATTTTCATCTTTGACCATATATTATGTGTTCTAATATTAATGGTTTTTGCAGTCACGTAATGAGTTCTGGTGCTCAGTGATGTGGAATCTTATAAAATCTTTGTAGCTCCCCTAAGAGAATGAAACTCTTGGTACTTCACGTTATCTTTTGCTTTTTACTGAAATTTAAGAACAAAGGAACCATATTTATCCCTTAGTAGATTTAAATAAATAATCAGTTCACATACTGGAATCTAGCAACTTAAAATGAATGTGGATACAAGCATGAACAGATATATAGCACATACAAGTTTTCTACAAGATAATTCTATTCTACCAAGATGAAATGGCATTGTAGCACAGACCAAATGAATACCAGTTGTGCAATGCAAGTTTCTCGGTACAAGTTTTCCAGCGTCCTTAATTTGTTGAGGGCTCTTTGCATTAATTAAAATTGATAAAAACCAAGTATTTTAACATGACCTTCTTTTGGCATTTGTCTTAACTTTTCTTATCCTATTTTATTTAATTCTTCCACTTCTGTTGTTCAATTAGTGTTTGACCCTTTTAGGAGAGATGTAAATTAAATGACATTTCAATGCCACTCCATATTTAAAATACTGTGTTAGTTGTGGATCGTAAATGATGAACTTCATTCTTTAGCTAATTTATTCACTTAACAATTTCCCTCCAGAAGTTCCGGCAGAAGGCTCTGAAGCAAACTAAGCAGAAGAAATCCAAGTCGGCTGAATTTCTGATGGGTGAGCCTTGGTTGATGAGTTATTGCTCATAATTTGTGTAAGGATTAATTAACTAATTACAGACAAATGGCTGTGGGCGAAATTTTGCTCTTGCTTGTCAGGGTGCAATTTGTAATTATTTTAATCATTTATTCTTTTTTTTTTTAAGAGTTAATTTTAACTTAATTCTGTTTTGGTGACATTTGAGGACAATACACTTGAGTCTTTCAGCACAAGAATTACTAGAAGGAATTTTCTGCTTTCACTGGAATATATTTTTGCTATCGTATGATCTTCTGACCTCCTTGTTTTACTTTAGCTAAAGAAGACAGAGACATTGCAGAAGGCATTAGAAATCCAGCTTTTAACATGAGCAGCCCGGATCTCTCAGCATATCAGACTTCAGAAAAGAAAGTTATCAGACATGACATGGCAGATCGCACCCTTGCAGCTCACCAACGAAAACTCAGTCTGCTCGCCTCTGCTGAACCAAAAGGTGTGACTTCAGTCTTGATTATCTTCACACTCAGTGACAGTCGCTATGCTCCTGAGCTAACCTGGGCATCCCAGAGCTGGCCTCAGACATTCCACTCTGGCGTGTCTGCGCAGGCTTCCTGCGGAGCGTCTGCATGTGGAGTGAGGGGCACAGCTCCGGATCTGCTCTGCCCTTGGTATGCAGGCCACACTCTCTCTGCGAAGACAGTTGAGCAGTGATCCACCCCATCTCAGGGTGCTGAGATGCAGTGTAGCACTCTGTGCAGAGAGGGTACAATGTTGTTACTGCCATTTATAGAACGCCATTCTGCCGGTGTATTTGTAAAATATGCTGGCACCCCACTTTTGGCCTCAAACTCTGATAATCCATTCTTTTCAAGGAGGACATCACTTCTCTATAGGTTTAAACATGTGCACCAAGAGCTAAAGAGTAAGCACACAGAGCATGTTAGTAACATCTCTGCAGAAATTCTTCATAAGCCATAGTTCCTTTCATTTTCTGATTAGAGATATTGCCAATAATTAAGTGTATTTGTTGGTTGAGTGGTAGAATTCTCACCTTCCATGTGGGAGACCCAGGTTTGATTCCTGGCCAATGTACCTCACGTGCAGCCATTACCCGTCTGTCAGTGGGGGCTTGCGTGTTGCTATGATGCTGAACAGGTTTCAGCAGCGCTTCCAGACTAAGACGGGCTAGGAAGAAAGGCCTGGGGATCTACTTCTGAAAATCAGCTGATGAAAACCCTATGGATCATAACAGTCTGATTCATAACTGATCATGAGAGTGGCACAGGACCGGGCAGTGTTTCATTCTGTTGTGTGTGGAGCCGCCGTGAGTCAGGGGCCAACGCGGCAGCAATGAACAATACCAACAACCTCAGCCAGGGGCGTAGGCACTTGGCATCAGGTCGATAGCACATGGTTGGCGCCTCTTATCCAGAGAGAGAAAGAAAGTTTATTCTGTACCTACAAAGAAACAAGTCATTAAAATTTGCTGTCTTTGCTCTTATCTTCGTCATTGAACAAGAAGAAAGAATTTAATCACCAGATAGCTTTTTGCGAGGGAACTGTCTGAAGTAATGAAGCATGAGCTGGCACAGATGTATTCTCTGCTGGTCCCACTGAGCAGCCTCATCATGATGTCCACCTGTACAGACAAGAAGTCTAGCTCCCCATAGGTTATCACAGTGTGTGGAGCACGAACTTTGTGATTTTTGATTCCTAAGTCTCAGGGGGATAATCTGCCAGTCTCTAGGTTTCTGCATTCTACAGCATATCATGCATCTTCAACTCAGTGGATTTAGCTTGACTCTTGTTTTCTTTGCTTGTTTGTGTGTGTGCACACGTGCACGTGTGTGTATGTGCATCTTTTCCTGTAAGTTGGTAGCCAAGTTTCAGAATGCAGTACTATCAATAATAATAGTAATAGCTGCCAATCATGAGTGCTTATTGTGTATTACTCTCTATTGACCAGTTGCCATTGAGTAGACTCTGGTTCATGGTAATATGACTCCATGTGTGTTAGAGTAGAACTGTGTACCACAGGGTTTTCAATGCCTGAGTTTTCGGAAGTAGATTGCCAGGTCTTTTTTCTGAGGTGTCTCTTGGTAGACTCGAACCCTCAATCTTTTGGTTAGCAGTTGAGTGCATTGACTGTTTATACCACCCACGGGCTCCTGTAACGTCTCAGACTAACAATATTCTGTGTTCAAAGGATCCCCTCCTTCCCACAGTGCTGTTTATAACTCACTTAAAAGGAAAACTTAAAATGGGCAGGCAAACACACAATTGCTTAACCAATATTGACCCACAATATAACACTTCCAACACTGTCTTGATTGTATCTGTCACTTACAAAATCACTTCTATTATATAAAACATAAAATCTTTATTTACAGACTATCTCTGGAGATAGGTTGAGTTTGTTCTTCTATGTACCAAGAAGTAGTAACGTCTCAAAGATTTTAAAAAAGATCTGCTCCAGAGGTCGACTTCTTTGATGTGAGTTTGTATATATGAGTCACTTATAAGGAGAGTATAATTGATTAATTAAATGTATATTTATTTATCATTCTTATATGACTATGTCTCACATACTTTGGACATGTTATCAGGAGGGATCAGTCCCTGGAGAAGGACATCATGCTTGGTAAAGTAGAGGGTCAGCAAAAAAGGAAGACCCTCAATGAGATGGATTAAGAATGTGGCTGCAGCAATGGGTTCAAGCATAGCAATGATTGCGAGGATGGGGCAGGACTAGGCAGTGTTTTGTTCTGTTACACAGAGGGTTGCTATGAGTCGGAACCAGCTCGATGGTGCCTAACAACAAGAACAATATATGTCTCTGGAATTGGATCTTACGTTCCTTTACTAACGGTTCTCAACCCTTCTGTGTATCAGATCCATCTGCGGAGCCAAGGGCCTTTGGGGAATCAGAACCTCCGCGGGTGGGTCTGAGCTGGGTATCTTTTCCCAGTTGTCTACAGGGCATTTTGATGGACAGCTAAGGTTGAGAACCACACCTGTGTGTTTAGTCCCTACGTCTGGGAGATGAGAATGAGCATGGAAGGTAACAATTGCTGCTAGTGTTAGTTAGTTGACCTGGTTCTGGAAAATGGGAAGACAGAAGATTTTATAACTCAAAAGTAGAGCAGAGTAGAAGGAACCAAAGCGAAGGAGCTTTGCACAAAAAGGCCAGGAATGACTTATCATCCTGACAAACCCAGCCAGCCATTGATATAGGTAGGAGTTTTACGATCTCTATTCTGTAAAATGGCCAGTAGGTTTTGTAAATTTATTTGAGCCAACTTTACACAAATCCACCATGACCTCACTTTGGAAAACCCTCCAAAATACATTCACTTGCGAATAAGATGTGCAATTTTATAGTCTGTGAACAAGGAAGAATGTTTGAAATACATGAACTTAGAAATTGTTAGATATTCTAAAACACAATATTTCTCATTAACACAATAAAAAAGAACATTGATGTTATCTGCCAATGTGATTACTTAGGCAAAATAGAGTAGCTACATATTTTCTCCATGGTAGTATTATGATTAGGATAAATTATCATTTTAAAGTAAATATCAATACATTTCCACCTTATAGATACCTTTTTTCAAAAAAAGTATTAGTAAATAATAGCAGAATCCCCATACTGCTTAATTTATTCAAATTATTTTAAGGAAATGTAAAACTATTGTATAAATAGCAATTTAAATTATATGGGAAATGTCTAGGTGAGGGATTTTCTGAAAACAAACTTTGGATAAAAAAGATTTCAAATTTATGATGTCTTAAGTCTCAGTATAGTAGAAAAGTAATCAAAGTAAGTACACACTGACCTTCGAGAATAGGCAAAATAGGCAATGACTGAGTGGTATGATTTTAAGATCACTTGGAAGGCCTTAGTGTACCCCCCAAATCCGACCGGTATACTCCAGTGTTAAAGCGTCCTTGTTATTGTTGTTGTTAGGTGCTGTCCAGTTGGTTCTGACTCATAGCGACCTCATGTACAACCGAGCGAAATACTGCCAGATCCTGCACCATCTTCACAATTGTTGTTATGCTTGAGCCCATTGTTGCATTCACTGTGTCAATCCATCTTGTTGAAGGTTTTTCATTTTCATTGACCCTCTACTTTACTGAGCATGATGTCCTTCTCCAGGGACTGGTCCTTCCTAGTAACATATTCAAACATATGAGATGAAGTCTTGCCATCTTTGCTTCTAAGGAGCATTCTGGCTGTACTTCTTCCAAGACAGATTTCTTCATTCTTCTGGCAGTCCATGGTATATTCAATATTCTTTGCCAACACCATAATTCAAAGGCATCCATTCTTCTTTTGCCTTCCTTATTCATTGTCCCGCTTTCACATGCATTTGAGGCGATAGAAAATACCATGGCTTGGGTCAGGCGCACCTTAGTCCTCAAAGTGACATCTTTGCTTTTTAACACTTTAAAGAGGTCTTCTGCAGCAGATTTGCCCAGTGCAATGTGTCCTTTGATTTCTTGACTGCTGCTTCCATGGGTGTTGATTGTGGATCCCAGTAAAATGAAATCCTCGACAACTTCAATCTTTTCTCCATTTATCATGATGTTGCTTATTGGTCCAGTTGTGAAGATTTTTGTTTTCTTTATGTTGAGGTGTAATCCATACTGAAGGCTGTAGTCTTTGATCTTCATCAATAAGTGCTTCAAGTCTTCTTCACTTTCAGCAAGCAAGCTTGTGTCATCTGCTTATTAGTTGAAAGTTTCTCCAGGGGAAATGACAGCATGCTAGAGAACTGACTGTAATTTGACATTGGTCATTTTTGCAAGATGTGAATGGAAAAATGAAGTAAGATACAAAGCTCTCCATCTTTTCTTTCTGTTGTCATGTCTTGTAGCCTTTGCCCCCTCTGCTCTAATGAAGTGTTCCAGGCTCTGATTCATCCAAGTCTTTGGATTCCGATAGCCTTTTATTTGTAGGAAGACAATTAGTAAAAACATTGAACATGCTATTTTGCAAATTCCCAGAGGAACTTACATATATTTGATTCTTTTTAGCCACGTGACCTCTGCCCCGTGTTGTTCAAACCTGTGCTTTAGGTGTGGGTATTGTTTTGCTGATCTCAGTATCCTAGCCAATCTTCTTTGCTCACTGCCAGGTATGTGCTGGCCTGATGATGAGTTACCTTATGAGAAAGGGAAATTCAGAATTATGTACTGGAAAAGGGAGAGGGGTAGAGAATCTACAGATGCTTAGAATTACAAAGAGAAAGATGATGGCTTAGGCTCTAAACCTAACCAGGGCCTGAGTGTGGGGTGGGTAGAAAGCGCATCTTTAACATTCTAAGTGTATAGCACGGTGGCACTAAAAAGTTAGCAAATGCTTGACTTTGTGCTGGCAGTAGAACACAACTTGGAACAGATGTGAGACAGAACCCTGGAAAAGGCTTTAAGTTGAAAGAAATAAAAAATAATTATACAAAAAACCCAAAAAATGAGACCTGTTAC